GGGCCCCCAAGAGGGGCCCCCCCGAGTCACGAGCAACAGGAGTGCAGCAGCAGCTGCTGCTGCTGCAGCAGCAGCAGAAACTTGCTGCAGCAAAAGCAGCAGCAGCAGCAAAAGCAGCAGCACAGAAACGTCACCTTGCTGCTTCTGCTGCAGCAGACACAGCAGCCCCTGATGAGGGTTTGCATGCGTTGCAGCTATCGCCTGAAGCAGCAGCAGAAGCAGCAGCAGCAGCAGCAGCAGCTGCTGCTGCTGCTGACGATGCAGCTAACAACCTAGAGGACCCTATTGATGCTGCTGATGAGGTTTGTGCTGCAGCAGCAGCAGCAGCTGCTGCTGCTTCTGGCCGCGTTGTTTCTCTTGCTGCTACGGGGGCCCTGAGCCTTCGTTTCCTTATTGAATCTCTCAGGCCTGCAGCAGCAGCAGCAGCAGCAGCAGCAGCAACAGCAGCAGCAGCAGCAGCAGCAGCAGCAGATTCAGAGCAGCAGAACTGGCAGGTTAAATCTATAGAGTTCTCCCTCGATAGGCTGTTTAGCCACCGTGGGTTGCTGCTGCTGCTGCTGCTGCTGCTGCTGCTGCTGCTGTTGCTACTTTCACTGCTGCTGCAGCTGCTACTGCTGCTGCTGCTCCTACTTCTGCTGCTGCTGCTGCTGCTGCTCTTCGTGGTTGTACTGCTTGAGAGGCTGTTGCTGCTGCTGCCCCAGATGATGCTCCGGTGTCTGTTGTTGCTTTAGCTGCTGCTGCTGCTGCTGCTGCTGCTGCTGCTGCTTCGGTGTTGTATGCTGCTGCTGTTGCTGCTGCTGCTCCCGTTGTTGCAGCAGCAGCAGCAGCTGCTGCTGCTGCTGCATCGCTGTTGCGCGTTTAGCTGCTGTGCATGTTATCGGTGTTGGTGCTGCTGCAGCAAGAGCAGCTGTTGCTGCAGCTGTTGCAGTTGCTGCTGCTGCTGCTGCTGCTGCTGCAGTTGCTGCTGCTGCTGCTGCATGCGTGTCTGCGTGCAGCTGGTAGTCTCCCTCTAGCGCCTCCTGCTGCAGCAGCAGCAGCAGCAGAATTCAACCCCCCAGACAGCTGGTTCGATTGGTTGCTGCAGCAGCTGCTGCCGCGGTGGCTGCTCAGTGAGAAAGCAGTAACCAGAGGCCCACCACTGCTGCTGCAGTTGCTGTTGCTGCTGCTGCTGTGTTGTTGCTGCTGCTGCTGCTGCTGCTGCGGTTGCTGCTGCTGCTGCTGATAGGGTTGACGCTGGTGCTGCTGCCGCTTCTGCTGCTTCAGTTGCTGCTGCTGATGCTAATGCTGTCGTTGCTGCTGCTGTTTGCTGCTGTTCTTTCTGCCGTTGCTGTTGCTGCTGCTGCTGATGTTGCTGCTGCTGTTCCTCCTCCTGTTCCTGGTGCTGCTGCTGCTGCTGCTGCTGCGGTTGTTTCGGTCGCAGCAGCAGCAGCTGCTCGATACCCAACAGCAGCAGCTGCTGCTGCTTGTGTCTGTGTCTTGCTGCAGACACAGCAGCAGCGCATGCAACCCTATTAAACGTTCTCTCGCTGCTGCTGCCATCGAAGCCGAAACCAGTGCACAGCAGCAGCAGCAGCAGCAGCAGCAGCAGCAGCAGCAAAGACTGCTGCAGCAGCAAGGAGGCAGACAGTGCATTCATTACAGAGCTCAGCCGCTGCAGCTGCAGCAGCACCATCACCACCACCTGCAGCAGCAGCAGCAGCAGCAGCAGCAGCAGCAGCAGCAGCAGCAGCGAGACAGGAGAAGCAGCAGCAGCAGATATATCTGCTAGCAGCTTCGTTCCTGCGGGGGCTAAACAGCTGCTTGGTGTTTCTATTGGTTGTCTACAAATTAAAAACAAAACCATCAGGTAAACCCTAAACCCTAAACCCTAAACTCTAAACCCTAAACCCTAAACCCTCAGAGGGCTTCGTACTACCTTCAGGATTGTGTGCTAGGGTTTAGGGTTTATGCTGTAGGGAGAGTTTTTATGGCATAGGGTTTAGGGTTAAGGTTTAGAGTTTAGGGTTTAGGATTTAGGGGTGAGGGTTTAGGGTTTAGGGTTTAGGGTTTGAGGTTGTGTATCGTCCAGGAACCTTCTTGCGCTGCCGCGTTGCTGGCAGCACGAAGCGCAGCAGCAGCAGCAACAGCAGCAGCTGCAGCAGCAGCAGCAGCAGCAGCAGCAGCAGGGGGTTGTTGAGGGTTTAGAGAGCAGCAGCAAGGGTTTAGCTGCCTGCGAGGCCCAAACCCTAAACCCTCAGCCCCCCCTCTGGATGCCTGCATACCGAGAGCCCAGGGAGCCGTGCCCCTGCTGCTACGCTGTCTTTCGTTGCTTCGTCAGCAGCAGCAGCAGCAGCAGCAGCAGCAGCAGCAGCAGCAGCAGCAGCAGCAGCAGCAGCAGCAGCAGCAGCGGTAGCAGCAGCAGCAGCAGCGGTGGAGATATTGGGGACATCAGCAAGCCTTGCTGCCGGTTGCCTGCCGCTGCAGTCGGCCTTAACTCATTCTCTGCTGCTGCTGCTGCTTCTGCTGCTGCTGCTGCTGCTGCTGCTTCTACTCCTGCTAGCTGCATGCAGCTGCTGCAGCACCCCACACTCGGCCTCTTGCTGCCTCATGATATGGCAAGCTAACTTCTTTTCTTGCTGCTGCTGCTGTTGCTGCTGCTGTTGCTGCTGCTGCTGTTGCTGCAGCTGTGGTTGCTGTTGCTGCTGCTGTTGCTGCTGCTGTTGCTGCTGCGGTTGCTGCTGCGGTTGCTGCTGCTGTTGCTGCTGCTGTTTCTGCGTTGTATTCATCCCTCTTATGAAAATATTGCTGCGGTCCTCACGGCGCCACATCTGCTGCTGCTGCTGCTGCTGCTGCTGCTGCTGCTGCTGCTGCTGCTGCTGCTGCTGCTGCTGCT